TCTCGACTTTTCGCTACATTTTTTTCCCCCTTCTTTTTTCTTTTTCTTGCTTTTTTTTCTTCTTCTTTTTTTCTGTTTTTTTTTTCTTCTTTCTTTTTTCCCTCCTCCTCCTCCTCCTCCTTTTTCCTTTTTCTCTCGGTTCCTTCTAATTAATTTTTCTTTCGTTCTCGCGTTTTGCTTCTCTCTCTCTCTCTGTATTTTTCCTTGCTTTTATTTTTTTCCCCTTCTCTTTTTTATTTTTATTTTTATTTTTATTTTTATTTTTATTTTATTTTATTTTATTTTTTTTGTATATTTCAATTTTTATTCCCCGATTTTAACGAGATTCGTAACTACATCGCGGGGGTCTCACTCGAGTGCCATGTTGAAATTGTCGAACGTTATGGTGGACTTTATTTATACGGTGAAAAGAAGATTACGGTCTTTGAAAGGAATCGAAAGAAAAACGTTTAAGTGCCGGCGACTTATAAACGAAAAAACGCTAATATTCGAAAATTGTATAAATAAATCTTGAATATAAATTTTAAATATACGGTTGATTCTTTCTCGTACAAAATGTAAATTATTAATGCGCGAATTTTTTATAAAGCTATGAATAATATTGCGACCACTTTTCTTTTTTCTTTTTTTTTCACATTACCCGATTCATCGTACAAAAATGTTATAATAAAATTACGCTATTACGAGAAATTCCTCGCATATGAAAATTCGATTAATGCTAATTAATCGAAACAAATGTTTGGTCTATTTCGTAATTGTGCGTTCTTATTTTTTTTTTAAAGGGAAATATTTTTCTTAACATTTACATACGCGTCTGATATATTATACCATATAATATCCCCGTGAACAAATTTGTAAATTATTCGTAAAAAAAAATGATCGTATAATATAATGAGAGGAAAAATTTGTACGCAGAACACGATTTATCGCAACGCGAATTAATTGTAATACGCATAACGTATTAAACACGACGTTACGTGGTAAACGTAATTGAATTATTGATTTATCCGAAAAGTTCGTGCCGATTTTCGTTAGGTGGCATAAAGTTTTTTCGTTGAAAAATCTGAGAAATTCTAGAAGGACGAAATTTTCAAGTTACAGAATGGCACTTATATATAATTTGATAAATGTAGGTATACCTAAACAACTTAAATGCGTTGGGTTTCAATCTTTCGTCAAAATCGACACGAACTTTCCGAACAACCAAATACATTCGCTAACAAATTGTTATATGAGGTTAATCAAATATAATATATTATACTATCTATGCAATAAATAAAGTACAAGTAACTCTCCTATAAACCCGGTAGATAGATTCTAAGAAAAAACCGTGTTGACATGAGACCCAGAGTTCATTATTCCTTCGCGTTATTATTTTAAGTAAAATTTGATAGTTAAATACATTAAACAAAAAAAAATCATATTATCCAGTGCTGCAAAAGTATCTATAAAGTATTGTACACAAAGGTTCTCGCAATTTATGAATTGTGTTATAGCGAAACCGTGTTGTAAGAGAGTCTCTCGGAATTTATGAATCGTGTTAGTGTATCGAAACCGCGTTGTAAGAGGGTTACATGTATTAAGTACAAGTAAAGATATCAAATTAGGAAATATGGATATATGGCGATAGATCGAATCGATAGATTTTTTTCTGTCGACGCTATAAAAAATATAAAAAAAAAGAAGAGTGAACGGGGTGAGAGGGAATATAAACCAGGGAGGGTGGTCCAAAACGGAGGTAGCGTAATTTGCCTCTAATGCGGCACTCGACGTAGAGCAGCTGGCTCGCCGGCCCTCTGCTTTCCATTCGCCACTCGGCCGCGCAACAGTAGCGATAATACTAACAATGCTGCTAACAATGCCAGGAGTGGCCGGGCATTGTAACAATAGGGGGCTGCGCTTGGAGTAACAATGCAAGCGCAAAATGGAAGGACGCATCTGTGTGTCCCGTGTCAAAGAGACGCCAATGGAGAGAGACCGAAAGAGAGAGACCAAGAGAGACCAAGAGAGAGAGAGAGAAAAAACGTACGTAAGGAGAGAGAAATGTTCTATGGATACTAGGATAAAAGAAATATGAAGAGAAAAGGAAGAGTGCGAAGTCTGCGCGTAAGCTCGGAAAGGGGTGAGTGTAAAAGCATTTTCTAAATCTCTCTTTCTCTTTCTCTTTTCTCTCTCTTTCTCTCCCTTTCACTCTCTATTCATATTTCGCATTTAAATCGGCCGCGAAAGAAAGATTTCGAGACAAGTCATTTTTGGGGATTTTCTTTTTGTTTTTCTTTCAATCGAATCGCCTTTACTTTTTCTTTTTATTTTTTTTTTTCAAATTCATTATCCAACCTTGGTGTAACAACAATTAGTTTCGACTACTTCCAACATTTTATATATATATAACTTTGTACGTAGATTTCGAGTGGTCCAGATTGTTAGCAGTAGATAGGTACTCTTTACTGCGTGTTGCCAGCTTTTTGCGTGTGAGTTTACACATATACTCAGCATACGAAATCGTTACTGTGGGACGAGCCGCTCGTTTAGCATCTATTTGTCTCCAGAAGTTCAAGAGTCTGTTCTATATACCTACGTATAATACATAGGCATGAATAGTACGAGAGAGAGAGAGAGAGAGAAAGAGAAAGAGAGAGAGAGAGAGAGGGAGAGAAATATATATATATAAATTCAGCAGCTCTCAGTCGCCATCGTCTCCCTCTCATCCTATCCCACATTTAACTCGTACACCACACGGCAGACTTTCACCGTCCCTCGGTAGTGTTTTCCTCGTGGCCTTCATGGCCGCCATTCATGGCTCCGAGCAAGATCCGAGTGCCATCGAGAGAGTCTGAAACTCGTTAACGAAACTTATGTACCATCATTTCTGGCGTGGCGCGTTCAAAATCCGCGCTTGATTGCAATCAGGCTTCTTTGGGTGGTGTTCCGCTCTCGATCGGGTGATTCTCGCGAGTCAATGGTTTCCAAAATAGAAACTTGAGAGTTAAACAAGCACATCGAGATGACGTCGTTTATATTGTGAGAAACTTACTCGAAATCTTTCTCAATTGTATTATAATATATTTCGTTTCAGGAACGATAAAAGAATTTAAATTTTGTTTAATCATCGAACGATATAATGGGAGAAGAAAGTAATGGTGTGAGAATATGAAAGAAAAATACGGTAATATGTTAATTTGCTGTGATACGTAAGAATTACTTACGACGTCTTAACGTTCACATTATCGACGAATAAACGAGTTGGTAGTCGCGTCGGCATTTATTAAAAGGATCGTGGGTAGGCCGGAGATCGAGCGACAGACGAAGAGAAGAGAGAACAAGAAGAAAGAGAGACAAAGTGCAGACGGAACGATAGACTAAACGAGGGAGAGAGCCCATTTCTGCATGGCACGAACGCAGGATGCGGCCAATGAGCTACGCAACAATTATTTATTGTTACCAGACTGTCGCAACGACGTGACCGACGACAGCAACCAGACCTGTCTGACCAATGAAGAGATAGCTCGTTACGATACGTGACCATAGTTATCGCCATTCTTTCTGTTTCTTATGACGAATTTTAGGAAAAATTTTTATCGAATTTCATCTATTTGTATAATCGGAAAGAAAATTACGATATCTATTACCTAAATGAAGAAATATCGTAAATATATATACAATTTCCTTTCTTACGGAATTTTTAATCACTTACAATAATTGTTTGCCCCTAATTTTCTTAACCGCAGTTACGTACGTTGTAACTAATTCGTACCGTCTGATCAATGAAGACATAAATTCGATACGTGATCACAACGATTATCATAATACCATTCAATTTCTAACAATAATACTAACGAATCCGTTCGATTGAATTAATCGAATACGAAATCGATTTCTACGATAAAGAAAAAAGAAAATTACGTTTTTCCGGACGGAGCCTTGAATTTCCTAGAATTATTTTTACCCTAACTTTTCTATCGCATGCATATTGTGAATTGTACGATTAATCCAGTTAGACCATGCAGTGTCAAGAGTTTTTCTTCGATATAAGTAGATAGAGCAAGCAAGCAAGCAAACAAGCGAGAAAGAGAGCAAGAGCGAGAGCGAGAGAGTGAAAAGAGAGAGAGAGAGAGAGAGGGGAGTGCCAAGAGATTTTTCTAATTAGCGGTAGTCAAGTTTATCGATTTGTAGAGGTACTCATACGACTCGCGCGTCCGACGACTATGCTTCTTTGGCAGAAGTTGCCTCGTAATTCTGTCTCTCTCTCTCTCACTCTCTCACTCTTACTCTCTTGTTCTCTTTCTCTCTTTGAGGAAGGGAGGAAGAAACAAAGGGCATCGACGGAAAGCAAGCAAGAGAGAAAGAGAAAGAGAGAGAGAGAGAGAGAGAAAGAGAGAGAAAGAGAGAGAGAGAGAGAGAGAGAGAGAGAGAGAGAGCACAACATGGCACCCACGCCTCCCCGAGGTCGATCGATCCGATCGGACGAGAGGTAGAGAAGGCGTGCGCGTACGTGCAGCATCAACCACCTGGTTGCGGCAATTAATCTCCTCTCAGCAATTAATCCTCGACGTGGCGATGTGCCTACGTTATAGGCTGTAGGTATGCAGTTAGGTTGCGCGCTACTAGCGTACGTACGTACGCTAGTAGATGGGTTGAGAAGAGTAAGTAGGTAGTGGTAGAGGTAGATATGTAGTATACATCTATATCAATACGTATACTACGTTGGTACCTTGCTCAAGTACCATGTCATATAGGTAGCTCTATGTTTAGTTCCAATCGAATCGAGCGGAACATAACGGAAAGTAAGGAAATAGCGGCAGCATCGCGTAATAACAAAACGTCCTCCATTTTTTCTTTTTGTTTTTATCTTTTCTTCGGGGAAAATTTGTCGAAAAGTTCAAAGTTAAAAAAGATAAGTGCAAAGAAAGAAAGAAAGAAAATAAGGGAGAAGAGAGAGGAAAGAGAGAGAGAGAGGGAGAAGAAAAGAAGAAAAAAAGAGTTAAAGAGTAAGTACTCACCTGCGTTGGCGTGAGATGAATGAGGGAAGCAAGATGCTCCCTTTCGGGCGCGCTTAGGTACTTTTGCTGCTTGAAACGCCTTTCGAGCTCGTAGACCTGGGCCTGGGTGAAGAGAACTCGACGCTTCCGTCTCTGGGCAAGGGGAAATTGCATCGTACCGACGCCCATGCCAACGTTCATTCCGACCCCAACGCCAACGCCCATGCCAGAGGATTTGGTAACGTCGCCCATCGACTGGCCCACCGAGCACCCGGCCACATTGGCCCCGGCGCCCGCCGCCGCAGCGCCCATTAGCCGCGAGACTGCAAAACATATTGGAGAAATCTAGGATAAACATTTTTCAATCGTTCCATTCGATTTCCTAATTGCCATTCTAAAATATCTTTCTATAGTTAGATTATAATCAATGCGATATCATTAATTGAATTAAAATAGGAGACGTGGAATGAAAAGAAAAGAAAGGAAAAATGTTAAGGAGGAGAAGAAGAGGTGTCGTCATCGACACACGTACACAAAAAAAAAACAAAACGAAAAGACAATAAAAAGAAACTGAAAATCGTTCGTAGAACTTCGTGGAGGCAACGGCGAAAGTGGAATATACTCTCTTTGGGAAGAACTCGAAAGTACGTGGGCTCGTGTGATCGTGGCTACTGAAATTCAACGAGCCGATCGTCCCTCGTCAGTTAGCGAGAAGCTGTCAAGAAGGAACGCGCCACCAGGACCGTTTCGTCCGTTCGGACAAAAGGAACGATTTCAGGTTACAAAGTGCCGCGTCATCACGAGAACCCGGGAGGTCCAAGAAGATATCCCACAGGAATTATTATCTACTCTCTCCTCTGCTCTTATCGAAGGAAGAAGGAAGAGGACAACCGAGAAGTGCCCACTCGAATTCAGGAACAAACGACTCTCGAATATGTTTACGGTCGAACGTTTAATGTCTATTTTCATATCGCATTTTGCATCGTTTCCATCGCTAGACTGAAAATAACGCGTAATTTTTTTCTTCTTTTTTTCTTTTTTCCAAAAATTTTCCATCTCTATTATTTCTACGTTGTTTCAAAATTCAATCAATGACGATGTGCTATTGCATTTGCAAAAGTTTAGATTATTTTTTCTATCTAATGTAAGTAATGCGTAACGGTTACTAGGACGCTATTGAAATCGTGGAAAATGAACGATTATTACGAATAACGGAGAAACTCTCTATCGACAGGTTCGTATCGTTTTTTTTTTTTTTTTACGATGCAACGATGAAAGGCAGCTTTTATCCTAGACCGATCGACACCGAATGAGAACAATGGAAACACAAAAGTAGTGACTGACGAGTCGGTAGATGAATGTTTCACATCAGTGAAAACCGAATCTCTGATAGGAAAGAAAGATCGTCGTTGATGAACGAACAACGCGTTCGTAGAAAGCTCATTGGATGAATCGACGGATTCATATTCATTGTTTTATTTGATTTGATTTTATTTTGTAATTTTTGTCGATAAATTCGATAAAAATTAAAAGAAATATTCGTATGTCTACTCTATTATACTTTGAAGAAGGTCCATCGTGAGTTAAGGTTTATAGAAAATCGAATTTCGGCGAGATGTGCTCGAGGTACGGTATCCTCGACTTAAGTCTCCCTTTTACTCGAGGATACCGGAGCTTATTTGTTTAACTAAAATCTCCCATACGATAGGCAAAGATCGATAGGAAGGGTCGCTCGGCTCCCGTTAAGCCGAGACGAAGAGAGTGGCGCGTGCGAGAGAGAGAGAGAAAGAGAAAAAGAAACGAGGAGTGTCCGAAGGATGATGTCCTTCGATGTTAAGAAGAAGAAGAATAAGAAGAAGAAGAAGAAAGTTCTTTTGTAGTGCTTGAAAGGCGAAATTTGTGGGACGGGGATGAGGCCTAGCTATTATTTATTTCTCCGCGCGTGATTTTCTAGTATTGTCGATCGTTTGTTTGAGGGAGAGAAAAATATATAAAAAGAAGAAGGAAGATAGTGTGGGACTTTTAAAAGCTAGACCAAGCGAGGGGAAAGATATAACATATATATAGGGTATAATAAAAAATGTTGTATAAGAAAAGTAGAGAGTTACGTAGTAGGTACTCACTGGCAAAACGGGGATCGTTGGTGGCCGGCGGTGCCGGGGCGTACCAAGGATGATGATGAGTCGAAACGGCATGAGATCTCATAGGATCGGCAACGGTGGCAGTACCGGCTACGGTGGGTCCGGCATGATGGTACGGAGAAAGTTCGGCAGTACAATACTGATATTGCGAGGTGAGCTGCATCGTGGCGTAAGGATTACCCATGGCGGTCATACCGGGTGTCCCAACAGCACTTCCACCAGCCGCACCTCCGGCTCCGGCACCGGCGGCAGTTCCGGCGGTGCCGGCGGTACCGGCGCTACCGTTCCCGGCGCTCCCGGTAACAGGACCGGGCGTGCTACCGCCGGGAGTCGAGCCGCCGTGGAGCGGCGGACTCCCGCTGCTCGCGCTTGAACTTCCGGTGTTACCGGCGACCCTCGCGCCGCAGGCGTTACCGTACGGGGAACCCTGGGGGTGGCTAACGACGCCTACTCCAACGCCGACGCCAACTCCAACTGCCGCGGCTGCTGCTGCGAGATCGAACTTTCTATAGGACTCCTCCATCGGCGAGAGGATGTCGGTCACGCTGAACGGCGTCGTGTGAGCGCCGCCCCCGGCTTGCACGTGCGACGAGTGTTGCTTCGGCGAAAGGCTTATAGCTAAATCAATGCTGTTCAAATCCGGCAGGAGGCTCGCCTGCTCTAACTGCGTTTGTTGTTGTTGTTGTTGTTGCTGTTGTTGCTGTTGCTGTTGTTGCTGTTGCTGTTGTTGTTGTTGTTGTTGTTGTTGCTGTTGTTGATGTTGATGATAGGTAGTCGCATTTCCGCTCGCCTGATTACCGGCGCCGTTTCCGCTGGCACCGCTAGCTCCACCGCCGCCGCCGCTGCCACCGCTCATCTCGGCGAGCCCGACGCCGTCGAAATACTTGAAGCTCGTGCTTCGCGGAATCGTGAGGCCGGTGCTAGTCGCGAAAACGGCGCGACATGAGGAATAGTAATAGGAGGAAGAGGAAGCGGAGGAGGAGGAAGCGGAGGATGGATAGCGATCTATCGCGACGGTACCGTAGCTGCCGCCACGCTCGCCAGCGGGCAGCGGCTCACCTCGGAGGCGGTAATCCTCGCGGTAATCCTCACGGTAATCCTCGTGGCCGAGAATTTTCGCTGATGTAAATACACGGTTATGGTGTCACTCACTGACTCTTCGAATCGACACTTGGCACATTTTCTTCTTTCATGCATTCACGATGGCGTTCACCTATGCGCCGTTCACCTCAACACAATGTTCACCTTAACGACGACAAAGACGACCGAGGTGATAATAAAAAGTTAGCGCACGGACCGATCGTCAACCGGTCGTTTCTTCTCACCGTCGCCATGTCGTCGTCGTCGTCGTCGTCGTCGTCGTCGTGTTGTATTTCCAGACGACGGATGGCAAAGGGTAACGATAACTCGAGCACTCAACACTCACTCGCGACGTAACGCGATGGAACGCGACGGTCGGCGGCCGAGGAGGGAGCAGAGTGGCCGGCAAGGCCGGCCGCCGACCGACTGAAATCACTCGCGGTCCTCTTCGAGTCCTTCGACCCTCCGTAGATGTACACCACTCTGCTCTTTGCCTCCACCTTCCTTCTCGTTAGGAGAGCTGCGAATCTATGGATGGATAGATGACTGAATGACTGGCTGGTTGGCTGGCTGGCTAGTTGATTGGATGGATGGATGGATGGATGAATTGGAAGACTTTCGCTGGTTTGGCTCGACTCGGCTTCTTAGCCTGGCTTGAGCCGGCTTTCGCCTCGTCTTGCCTTGGCACTTTGTTCGTTGGCTCTCGTTAGTGAGATGGTTCGCTGGCTAGCTGACTAGATGGCTGGTTCGTTCGCGCGCTCAGTTGCTTGCTTGCTTCCTCGGATGGTTGGTTGGTTGGATGGATGGATGGATGGATGGATGGATGGGTGGATGGATGGATGAATGAATGAATGGAGAGGACTGTCGGGTACTCCTGGAGAGGTCCTCACGGCCGCTTAGACCCACTCGACCGGCGCGCTCGGCCGTTCGCGCTCGGTCGCTCGGTCGCTTGCTGCTGCTGCTGCTGGTGCTTGCTTGCTCGCTCACTCACTCGGTCGGTCGTTCGTTCGGTCGGTCGGTCGCTTGCTTGCTCACTCGCTCGCTCGCACGCTCACCCGACCCGAGAGCGGAGGCTCCACAGGCTCTCGCGGAGAACCCGTACGACGACACGATGAGTGGAGTGCCCACTACGGAGAAGTGCCTGCTACCAAGAGTCGTGATGAGATGTCCCCTTTTGCGTGTGAGAGAAGGGCTTCCACTCTCTCTCGGGTGGGTACAGCCGCGCGTGGAGAGGGGCACCCGAGAGACTCTCTGATGTGCTCCTCCGTACGCCCTCCCACCGAGAGAGCTTATCTTTATGTCTCTTATCCACTCGGCCACCGCCATTGGCGGTGGATATCCGTGAGGCGTGCCCAAGTACGACGATTGGTTCGCAACAAGCCACGCCGAGACGCGCGATCATTCGCCGCTTAGTGTGTTCCTACGTCTCGTTGGTCGCAACTTTCCTCCTATCAGTGCATACTATGGCCGATCAAGTCACACCCAAACCCACCCCTCTGTCCTCCAATTGAACCACCGCCCTTCCATCCTTTCTTCCTTTCTTTCTTTCTTTTCTTTCTTTCTTCTGTCTGTCCTTCTTTCTTTCGAAGACGACCGTGGATCCGGGAAAGTCTCCACGAGAAACCAAACGAGACTAGAAACGTTCTGATCGCGTCCTCGATAAAATATTCCTTGACGTACGTTCCGAACTCGACGGTTGGAAACAATTTGTTACTTCTATTCTCTTTACTTTTCCTATACTCGCCGTGTGTTTCGAACTTTTTAAAGCAAAAGTAGTGTGAAACGTGAATTGTGCGTTGTTTCATCTTACAAGTTATTTCCACGAAATTAACGATCGAAAATACAAATTTGTGATAAACGTATTTAACAAAACGCGAAGGGATTTATGGTTTTTGACATTACAGCTTCTTTTGTTTCTTTTGTGAAGTGTTACGTACATCTCAAATAATGGATGTACTTATTGAAAGAACTTAAAAAAATTATTATTTTTGTTCGCAACTAATCGAATCTAAATCGACGAGAATAATTTTGTAAGAATGGAAAATACGAGTTTCTTTCTCTGTTCTTAAGATTTTATTTGTAAAAGATTTCTTCAAAATTAATCTCGACTTATATGACATTTTTTATAACTTTCAATTATTTGAACCAATGAAGAGGAAGAAAAATTTTATTCGAAAAGAACAACGTTAGAAAAATAATGTTCTGCTTAAGTAATAATTCAATTCCTGTTCCAAAAGAACTTAGATCGACATCTGTGAGATAAACTACGTATTAAGCTTATTTTCTATACTAGTAGTAGCACCATCTATGATACCTTAAATTTGTTGATACTAATTCATAACCTCTCTTTTCCACTTTATCAAAGAAATGGCATCTTGTATATTGAGATTTATTGGAACATTTAATTCTTTCAAGAATTATCATGTCGTGGAAAATGGTACTTATATTTTTCAAAATTATATAAATATTTTTTTTTCTACCTTATTGTTATTCTTTCATTATATTATCAAGTTGTTATATTTGACTTTCTTATTTTCTTTTAGGTAGCAAAATTGTCTCTTTCATGTATAATCATAACTTTTTAAAGACTCATATTCCTGTAATCAACAGCACACGGAATACATCATTTTTTAATAAACGTAAGGAATAATTTTGTCATTAAATTTTAAAACATACTTCTTCAATTAATATATTTCTTTCATACATTTAACAAATGTGTAGGTCCTGCTGAGCAGTTATGGAAAGGTGTAACTAGCGTTAGTAATGCAGGAAAACGGAGAGGTAGAGCACGTGGAGTGGCAAGAAGAAAGGATTTGAATAAGGGTCAAATTATTGGCGAGGGGAGAATACCAATACAGTTTCCTGGATTAAATGTACCAGTTATTCATGGAAAAGAGATATTAAGACAACATAAACTTCCCGAAGATCCTGAAAGACAAGAGAAGCTTATTAAATTACGTGAGTCTATGTCAGCACGGAAACGTGTTAAATTGTCTCCTTTGGAACGTGGTTGGACGAGTTATAGACCTGGAGGAATGAAAATAGGTCCTCCTGAACCAGTCGGAGATGGTACTATTTATTTTTCTTTCATTTTCACAAAATTTATATATATATATAATATATTATATATTATTTTGTGTATAATTTATAATATTATTGCATAGATACATTTGAGGGTTTTGAATCATGGGTACTGGAATGTAAGTTAGTTAGCACCATGACCCACAATCTGGGACGTAAAAGTAGAGTTAGTGCAATGGTTGTAACCGGTAATGGAAATGGATTAGCTGGATATGCTGTAGCAAAAACAAAGGAAACGAAACACGCTTTAGCTGTAGCCAAAAGAAGAGCTGGAAGTAAAGTAGTATATATAAATAGATACAACAATCATACTGGTAAAATATATTTCTATTTTAACTTTGTTACATATTATCAAGTTTAATTAAAATAATATAAATAAGTGTTAATATTCTTATATAAATAATAATTGTTACAAAACGTTTGATATTAAAGTGGTACATGATTTTTATACGCAATGTGGAAAGACTAAGATATTTGTACACAAAATGTACGAAGGTTTTGGTCTTGTATGCCATAGAGCGATAAAATGTTGTTGCGAAGCGATTGGTATAAAGGATATTTATGCTAAAGTAGAAGGTGCTATAAATTATCAGAATATCATTAGAGCATTTTTCGAGGGTCTCTTAAGACAGGTAAAATTATAACAAAGAAATTTTTTACGACACTGTACTTAATCTTTTATTATTTGATACATTATATGTTACGTAAATATTTATAGAAATCATTCCAAGAAATGGCAGATGAGAAACAGTTACATTTGGTCGAATTTAGAAAAGAAAACGATTATTTCCCTGTCGTTGTTGCCTCTCCGGCTCAAGTAAGAACATCAGAGCAAATAAATCCAAGTGAAATTTTAGATTTTAGTCAATATTTAATGGATGGTAAAGTTGTATTAAAGAGAAAGAAACCTCCTCCATTCTATACAAAACTTGATTCTTGGAACACACATCTGAAAAAAATGGAACGTATTAGAAATAAGAAAGATGTTAGAATGAGATTGTACGCAGAATATGGTGATGTTCGTAGTTTTCTTGCAGAAAAATATCCAGAAGCAAAAGCGATATTTTGGTCGAAAAAACGAGTACTAGCAGAAAAAGAAGCGAAGGAGAATCAATAACTTGAGAATATTCTTTCAAGATTGTGTGTAGAAATCTTTTTAGTTATGAATAAACTATGACTAATAACATCGATGTATTGTTTAAATAAAGAATTTACGAATAAATTATAATTTCATTTGATCTATCACATATATGTATATAAATAATAAAATTTTGTGTAAACCATCAACATTTACAGCGTTAAATTTTAATTGTTAGATTCACATTTACATAAATAATTATTATTATTTAAACATTTTGGTATATAAATTCAAAATTTAAGATATTACTCAATACCAAATTGGCATATACAATTAATATATAAAAGCAAAAATAATAAACAACGATTTTATATCGCGTGTATTATTTATTCAAATTGATATATAACATTTATCCTTAATAATTTATATAAGGGAAACGTCTCAACCAATAAAAATCTGAAAAAGTAATTAGAACATTTAATAACCAATAAGAACATTTCTTTAAGAAAAGTGTCGAGAATATAAATGCATTGCAATTGGTTGATAATTACTGACATTGTTTTCTTAGTAAAATTGATCTGTCAGATCTTTTAAAGCAATAATCGAGTAATTGGGTCATTATCAGATTGATTTAAACAATAGTATGTAACGAATAATATGATTTATTCTTACATCAATATATATTTATTTTCTTTATATATACATATATTTATACGTATATATATACGTATATATAAGTTTCCTAGAATTCAAATGTAGCGAGTTTGTATCTCATTGCGTCAAACGTTTTGTAAATAACATAGTAATTGCGTGAGTGTGTGTGATCTCATCGTTACCACTAGTTTGTTTTAGCTTCTAAATGTTACCATTTTTATTTTCATAATAATTAGTTCAATTCTTTTATATATATTCTTTTCAATGAATAGTTATCGTATGTAGTATGCCCATACATATATTTATATAGTCGAAAATTTTTTTAATCGAGAAACGGTTGTACCTGGCGATACATATCGATAGCATCTCGACCACTGAGAAACGGTAATTATCCATCCACAGAATGATTTGGTGACGTCCTATTCAAAGATGGCGGTGACGAGTAAGCCATGTTTTTTGTGATGTTCGTGCAGTAGACAAATTTTTCAGATTTGTAAATCGTATAAGCAAAATGGCTGATGATGATCCGTGGTTATTAAAAGAAGACGGATACTTGAATGTTGACGCCGAGTGTAAAAGCATAATCTATCATGCGAATTTAAATGTATTACTGATTACTACTAGCAAGGCGCAAGTATACGTATTTGATGTCAACTCTGGCGTAATTTTGCAAAGAAGTTCTCTTTCAGGTAAGCATTTCGATCTTCCGACAATTCAACATTTAACTAATAAGATAATAAAACTCTCCTTTAGCATTATATTTTATTATGTTTTTGATTTTTAAATTGTTATTCGTTTGAATTTCATGGTCAAGGTCGTATACGTGCGTTGAACAGCAGGAATGATTACAATTTTTTCCGTTAACGTTTTTTTTTTTCAGATACAATGATCGATTTATAATTGAGACAATGCATCTCTATCAATATGTTTAATATTTCTTAAAGAAATAAAATTACACCTATTTCTTTATTGTATTATAACGTGCCAATTAAATTTACATTGTGTTTGCAATCCTTCGGTTACATTTATTTGCTAATTTAATTAAATGTTATTATTATTATTATTATTACTACTACTATTATTATTTATAATATTTTTGTTACTTAGTAATAGATAATAGTGATAGCTGTGAAAAACAATTTAGATAACTGTAGATAATAACTATACTGGATAATGATTGTGCATTATATTGTTTTTTTTTTCAAGATGAAACTTAGTCATGTATTCTACTATCTTCTTTTTGTATCGTATCTAAACAACACGATAGTATGTAAAATTACTTTATAATATAATAATACTTGGCTTTAATGTTAATCTAATTTGTTTATATATTTTAGAGAAGTAATATATAATATCTCCTTAAATGATAATATTAAATATGAAATTGAAATACATAAATAATCTTATAAAATTTCCATATTATATTTAATTATCAGAATTGTTTATAAAGAGACTTTTTGTTCCTTTAGGTAAACCAAATAAGAAATTACAAGGTATATATTTAGCTGATGGCATAGACAAGGTATTATATACTGATGGAAGTGGTATTGGTGTACGTAGCGATTACAATGGTGTCCTATTGCTGGATACTATTTTACAAACTCCTGTCTCACGTAGCGAAGACGTCGTAAAATTAGAACTTCTGCTCTCTGAAGCTACATTATTACATCAAAGTTTGCGATATATGGATTTACCTGGGATTGATCATGTACAAGAAGTTTTACAAGAATTATCGACTAAACTTCTTGCTGCTCAGGTTAATCAGAAGAGAGGTATAAAAGCTCTAAAGGTATGGTTTCCTCTATTACAAATCAAATATATTATTATAACATTACTCTTAACTACTATATAAACAATTGCATATATACTTTACAGTGGAATACAATATGTTTGGAATTACCACATGGATCTTTGAAGTCGGTTTGTTCAGGAATGGCCCTAGAATTGAAAAGGCAAAACAAACATATACCAGCATTGCCCATTGCTTGGGCCATTAATGAAAGATTAAATGGCCTATTGCCTACCCTTGTCTTAGAAGGTGGTACTGCCGATAGAGCATTAATGTTTAGTGAAGCAGCGCGGCGTGATACATTTTCAAAATGGCCACATATGAATTACAAGTGAGCATAGTTATAATATAATATTTTATCTCATTTGTGTATATAAATGATGTATTCAGGTAAATCATAGAGTATATCATTATGAGTAATTAATATTTTATAGATGGGCACTTCCTGATCGGATGGCACAGGCTGGTTTTTATTATCAACCTAATGCATCAGGAGATGATAGAGCAATGTGCTTTACATGTAAAGTTTGTTTGGTTTGTTGGGAACCAACGGATGAACCATGGTCGGAGCATGAAAGGCACTCCCCTGCGTGTCCTTTTGTTAAACGAGAATATACACAGAATGTACCATTATCTGTTACACTTGCAACTGCTCCAGCACGTGAATCTAGCAATGTAGATATTATAGGAACAACAAATGTTTCTGGCTTAGTAGCTACAGCTTCATGCAATGGTCATGTTAATGTTTGGAATGTAACAAATCAGTTAAAGGTAAAATTTTAATACTTAAAATAATATGTTATTTAAACATATTGTAATTGATTATTCTTGTAGGGTGAGGTAGCATTTTACATTGCACCTTCTGATCAAGAAGTGAATAATAAAGAAACCATACAGTTTTCCGCTACAAGGAACTTGACCTCTTCATATTTAGCAAATCTTAGTTCAGATTCTGACCTACTTTCTGATTATAAATCTTTAATGTCGCATAAATTACAATTAACAGCGCTGTCAACAGTTGGAGCTCCTAATTCTTTTAAGAAAGACTCCAAAAGTGCTTGTTCAACAACATCATCCGTACAAATGGATACTTCTGATTCAAAGATTAGACCTTGTTTGGTGTGTGGTGTTACAGTGACAGTGACTAATCCTTCTCAGTTGAGAACTTTAGAAAATGTGTGGTCATCATCAACAGATCTTGCTTCGTCATCATCACTAGTACGAGCAATGAATAGTGTAAATAGTGCTGCCAGTGATACATTGGATATAATGAAAGTTGCGGGTGATAGGTATGCCCCTTCGAAGTCTCATTACTTAGTACTTTATGATTTTCATCACAAAGCAGTCTCAACACAGTCTACAAAGGAAGAAAATTCTAAAGATTCAAAAAATAAAAAGACTCTCTCTGGAACTGGAACTAGTGCTAGCTCAAATGGTGAAAGGCAAGAGAACTTGTATCCAGAGCTTTTCCTTGGTAAATTTTTATATGAAGTACCAGTTATTGAAGATGTAGATTCGGATACGGTTGTCGGATCGCATTTTGATGGTACAGTTTCAACAACTGTTCTCACCGCATCATCTTCCAATGGTATTTATCCTACACCAATAGGAATGACAGTTTCATCGACTGTAAGTCCATTTCATGCTGTTAATTTAAATACCAGTAATGGAGTAGAACAATTTGCATCAACATCTGATTTAACGGCAAACAAAAAACCTATTGATATGTTAAAAATGTCAAAGTCAGAACCAGTAGTTATAAAAACAGTTTCTATTGATGCACCGGATAATCTTAAAATTACATCTATTATACCATCTAAAGATGGAAAATACTTATATGTTGCAATGTGTCCAATATTAGAAGATACTGTTAGCGATTCTTCTCTTACTTCTATTTCTACAAAAATGGAAATTGACGAGGAGCGTACATTCTTTCCACAAAAAAGTTATATGTACTGGGATCATCATGAGACTGGAAGATTAATGAATGGTGAAATACGTAATAATGCAGACAATACAAATGTTGTTCTACTCGTTTATGCTTTGGATTTCTCAGGAAAAGTAGTCAGAGTTGCATCAGAACCTATTATTAGAAGGGAATTACCTTCTGAGCAAACTCCGATTGAACATGTGCTATTACCAATTCAAGAAAAAAATAAAGATACATTACACGGAATTAATGCTTCTACTAATTCTTCCACTAATTCTAGTGTTCAAGAACCATTTGGTCAAATAGCTCTTGTATGTAGAGATGGTGTGATCAGATTATTAAATCTAAGTACCTTAAAAACTGTCAATGAAGCTAAATTAGATAGTCGCAAATTCATCTCAGCGGCGTATTGTAACAGTATGTTTAAATTTATATTAGTAAAATCTACATAAATTCATATATGATAAATTGGTCTAAAAATAATTATAATTTAAAATTGTTGTTTAGGTTTAGAGAGATTGTGTGCATGCACTGACGATGGAGCACTTTATTTTTTTGTTACTTCAGAAGAAGAAAATTTTACAGAAGACAAAGAAGACATTGAGGATGTTAATATGGTTATAGAAGATGGTTGCACCAATGTACAGTATGTATAAAAAATATAATTAAAATTAAAAAATGGCTATTATAAAAATAAACAATATTTTAATTTTTCTAATGATATATTTATATACTACTATAGTAAAATAAAAATATTTTCAGGGATTCAATAATAGCACATAGGCCAAATTTATCATATACGGATTTACGAAGTCTTCATGAATTGACGAGGTTTGATAGACATTCACCTGCATACGGGGCTACCGTTCCACCTTGTTGGAGTGAAATAATGCAAGCACAAAGACAACGTCGTCATCCACAACACCATCAATCGGAAGATCAACATCATACACGGACGTGGCGCTTACAAAATGATACGTACGTTGTTTACTTTAGTTGGTATTTATTTTAATGCATTTGTTTTTAACGAAAAATTGTTGTCTTTTATTTTTATACTTCATATTTTTTATATAGAACCACTTGGGACGAACATGTATTCGAATTAACGTTACCGCGAAGTGCAGCTGAAAACATAGGACATATTGATGTACATTTTAATCTGCATTCGTTGTGTCAGGAATTACCAATAATACAAGTTACTTTACTCAAGCAAAATATAAGAAGAATTGGGCATAAAAAATCTCCACTCACTCCAGTGGATGAAAGAATAGATTTCAACATAAACAATGAACAAAAGGGAGAAAATCCAGTTATTACAGACGAATATCAACGTCAACATAATACCGAAATTTTATGCGGGCCAATTGATTTACATCATTGTATGGATTTATCTTGTCGATCTGGATGTGTCACTCTTACAAGTCCAAAATTATTCCATTCCAAAGCTAGAACTCTACTTGTACATATTAAAGCACTGATTGACCCTTCAAAAGATGGGGTAAGTAAATGTTTTATTAAAAATTAGTGCTCGTAATTTGTTGTTACTATTAACTCTTTTGTTTATAGGCAACAAAATCAAAAAGTAATTCATCAGATAGCAAGCCCCCTACTTCCAAAAAATTAAGAATAATAGAAGTACGACCATTAGTTCCTGGTAATACTGTTGAATGTTATATAGGTAAGAATTTTAATTAATTTTAATTACATATGCAAAATATTTATACTGCATTTATTATTCTTATTTCTATAATTTTTGTTCAAGGATGTGATTGGATTCATGAAATATCAATAACTGTGAGATCAGTATATCCTACGAGCATACCAAATGCAAAAGCACAAAGATGTGCTATGCTAGAATCTAAATTATTTTTCGACAGATTATTAAACATCGCCTGTTTGCAGACGTCAGATAAGTATGTATAACAGTGGATGAAAGCTAAAAAAGAGCTGCTATAACATAAAGTATTATACGTAAATATATATTGTTATAGATCCACTGTTACACAGTCTATTGCATTAGATATTCTTATATGGATAGCATCAATAAGATTAATCAGGTTACGTGGCGTTCAAAATAATGCTGAAATAAAAGCATTTCAATTAGAAACTATACGTTGTGTTCAAGAACATTTACCAAATTTATTAAAAACCTGTCTTCTCCACGCTGGTAGAAGTATAGCACATAAATGTGTCAAATTAATTATTTTGTGTAGCGGGTAAGTAACTTTGTGTAAATTGTTTGTATAATGTTGATTTTTTAAAATCATCATTAATATAATTTTCTTTTCTATTTTTTTTCCTTAACAGAGGTTTTTACAACTTGGAAGATCCACCATCTCAATCTTTTGACGAAGCTACACTTTCAGTTTTGGTAACTTTGCTACCATCGATTGTAGAAGTTCAATGGGCTGGATCATTGAGATGGCTTCAATTATTAATTACGCGATTTTTACCATTAGATAGGAATCACAATGTAGCTCAGCAATGTGCCACACTAGTGCAGCACATTGCTGCTGAAATGTCAAATAGAGTAAATCCTTATCATTTATTACTCGCGACAAGGTATTAATCATACATACACACATATTGCTGTTGAAATAGATATTATTTTAATCAATATTGTAATATCTTTTACATTTTAGATTCGGCTTATACAATACTCCGTTTGAAACAGAACTTTTTGATCTTGATCCACCAGTACCATCCAAATGCAGTTCAATGTCTACAACATATGCGTCTGTGGTAACTGGCGATCAAACAAATTCAGCTACTCCATCTTCAAATGCTACATATTCTCAGGACGCTATTGATTTAAGGGACCTACTTACACTGCCTGCACATCCAGCTAGTGAACTTATCGTACCTAGCAAACTAAAGGCTCTTTGTAATGATCACAATATGAAAGGTCTTCTTGAGGTAATATATTTGTTTGAATTACTCTTATTTCTTACTTGTACACATTTCTGTATGGTATAATGATCCTTGAAAATGTAATATTAATTATTTTTGTTTTATTAATTTATTTCAGGTAGAACCTCTTCATTTTACTTGTCACGCCGCTTCAGATGGTACCAAGATGGAGAAAATTGGTCCTGGAGTCTATACAATGAATATTGGAACTACTCTTTATGAAAGCAATGCAGCGAATAACAATGGTGTACTCGACATCATTCATCGTGCTTATGTAAGTTTTTCTTTTTATATAGTTGATAAACATTTAGTCATTAACAAAATTCGCACATCTTATGTATCACACAACTTAACATGAAATTACTTAACTGTCACATTGGTAAGAAAATACGCATTGATAAAGTGACAGGTTATGAGTGGTTAAACAAACAATACAGCATTTTTTTTTCTTTTTTATTCTTTTTTATTTTTATTTTTTTTTTTTTAAATGAATAAAAAATGTCGTAAAAATCTAAATGTCACGAATAAGAGGTTTTCATTAGTTGTCTACAACAATAATAGAGTTTATTGCTATCCCTGACCATTATGTACAGTAAATTTTTTTAAGTGTTTTGTAAATGGGAAAATCGTTATCTAGATAGAAATCATTGTACATTGTAGAGCTTGGATGGTGGATCGCTAGGACCAGATGTTCAGACTAAACCAACATCTACGTTATGCGATTTGCGTAGAGTGTATACAGGAAGAGTCTTAAAGAAGCCAATTCCACAACTATTACTCACATCTGATGAACAATCAGACTGTGATGAAGCTAACGATACATCTGGTGATAACCAGACTTGGCATAGCACGCAAAGTGATATACCTAATTCACATGTATTAAATTCTACCATATCAAAAGAAAAGTCTTCTGTTCAAAGTATCAATTCTGCTGTAAACAAAGTTGAAGACAGCAATTCTAAAAAGGTAGATTGCATAGATGAAAATTTGCATTTTCTTACTTTTATTCTTGAGTTAAATAATGAATCATTTTTTATTCTATCATTTTTATTGCTTTTTTAAAATGCTGTTTATAATTCAAATTTTTAACTACTGAATGTATTAAAAAGTGACAATTTTAGACGAAATAACGCAAGGTGCATGAGTTATCTGTAATGTCTGTTTCATATATTATCTGATATCTTTTATGTATATATCATTTTCTCCTTTTTACACGCAACATCTTAAATACCATTGTGTACACAGTGGCTTATTCTATAATCATCAATGTAGTAAATCTAAGCTCTATTAAGTACCTTCAGATCGTTGGGTTAGCATATGGTAATTAAATAATGATCTGTCCATTATAGGAAAATGAATAATTTAATGAAATAACTTATTTCCTTGTTTATGTATATGTATATAACTGTTCATAAAAAGTATTTGAGGCTATATTGTTACTAAAGATTTATACTAGTATTCTTATACTGGTGGAATAATGTGTGAAGAAGAAGTGGGATTACATTATACAATTATATGTACATAAAATATTTTTGAAATTGTTGATATAAATATTAAATTACGTATAAAACATAATTTATATTTTTTAGGCTCTATTTAATCTCATTTATTTGAATAATTTTAATGTAAAATTATAAATATAATGAATTATTAATATAATTATATTAACATTGATTTAAAGATAATTTGACAAAATAATTAAATGTAATTAAATATAGAAATATTTAAATATTTTAGCGAGAAGATATTACATTTCCATGGGGAAGATTATTAAGCTGGCCACCTCAACAGGCATTAGTGGTTGACAGAATGCATTCTGGAGCTCGTCGATTTGTGGTCCTAGACTTTGGATCTCCTGTACTACTTACTGATCTTCTGATTCCTTCCTGTTGCGACTTGGTGTCATTGTCTATAGATATATGGACAAAGAGCGAAGAAAGTGATGGCACTCGTCTGATTGTTTCCACAGATATCGAAAGTAAACCATTAGTTATTTGTGATCTTCAACCACCACCAGTGTGCAGATATCTTAAGGTACAATAAATTTGAAATATTTTGGATGTCTCTTTCTTTAGCTTATTATACAATTTATTAAAAATCTTCTGTTTATGTTTAGATTACAACAATTGGTCGTTATGGTATGCCTACAACAGCATGTAAGATTCCATTAGGGATGTTTTACGGGCATATGGTTGTTCTACCAGGGGAAGATTATTCCGAATTAAATAATTCTCTTCCAGTTCACGATGATACATCAGATACTTCTTTACAAAATACTATCGATACCCAATGCAATATTTTATCAGCACTTGCAGAAGATGTACAGTGCAGGTATACTTTAAATATCTTTATAAAAATATTTCATATTAATGAGTTTTTATAATTCAATTTTTATTTATTTATTTTTTAGATTTAGCTTAGCCACAGAGAGATTAAAAAGTTTATTGGATCCATTGTTGTGTTCAGAAATTCCTAATGTGATGCACATGCAACATTATTTGTGTTGTACTAAAACGCCTAATGAAAATAAAGAGCAGCCATCTGCAAAAATTCTTTCGACGTATCAGGTTATTATTATATTATTATATCGAGAGATTATTATTATTATTTTATATATTTTTTATAAAATGATTACTAATATATACGTATTGATATTTATATCCTATAGGAATGTCTAATGTTTCAACGTCAATTGAATATCGTTCATGCAGTAAGGCGGCGACTTGAATCATGGAGAGGCTCTTCAAACATGGTAGCTTTATCTTTCGTAGATGCACCTACCGATAAATTGCGTGTTCTTGGAGAAACATTACTCGATATTCTTCTATACACTGTATATGAAATTGGACCTGTTCCTAGCGTATGTAATTTTATTTTTTAAAAACGATGAACTTTGTCAAACAATTTAATTATCTATTCCTTTGTTATTGTTTAGATACCAATGTCTTTGTGCGAAGTTTTTACACCATTTACCTGTGAGGAATTTTTCCATTCAATTTGCGTTGTTACGCCAGCACCACGTTTACAACTTCATGCGGCAACACTTCTTGCTCGTATGGCAGGTCATCAACCTTGGTGGGGAAATTTTTTGTCTAATACTTTAATCAAACTTTATTCATCTACATCTACTCAAATTTTTCCTCAAGATAGGTAAGGTATAAACTGGTCATTAGTTATTGAAATATAATTATATTTATAGATTCATAATATAAAACTGTGATACGAAATATTTGATCTTTTTCAGAGTATTTATTTTATTAACGTTTCTTGGACGTAAATCTTTAATTGCTGGAGGTAATAAATCCTCAGTAATAGATGCAATGGTTCGTACATTAGGCATATTATTGGCTCCATTGTCAATTACTGAGATACTAAATCCTATTCAACTGGATACAACCCTTATTGGTTGGGTTCTCCTATTTCTGTCTGTATGCTTAGATACAACAGCGACTCCGCCGTCCTGTTCTGACGATAATCAGGAGAAAAATAAAGAACAAGGTATATTCTCACAATTGTTAAAATATAAAACTGTATACGTATTTACTTTATATAGTATACAGTATATTACTTTAGATAGTTTCAACTTAATAAAAGTGATTGCACTCCTGACTTTTTTATTTCATTTAAATAGGTACTTTTTCTCGTTGGGAGTTTATTCAAGGAGAGTCCGCAATGCAAAGGAACTATGTAAATGCCACTCGTTCGTCATCTTCTCGTAGTTATCGTAAAAAATTGCAAAAACGTCTTATGCATCGTAAACAACAACTTCAAGAAATGGAACAAGCAAAAAAAGCTTTCCACGCATTTTCACAAGTATGTATATATATATATATGTATATTTTCTTCTGTATATATGGACGCATAAAGTGTATAGTTCTATAAATTTAAATTAATATCTTGTTGCACGTATAGGCTTGGACACCACTTTCTCCTCAGCCTGCTACCATATATAGTAAAATGGAAGCAACATTAAAATCTCAGGAGAGATTTTTCAAAAAAACATTGAAACAACACTCTACTAAACATCTCAAAGATGTTCTTAGTATGAGAAAAAACGAATTGCAACACGTTCCTCGTAGTTCACGAAGTCAATCGCAACCTAGTACAAGGTATGTTATTTTATTTTACTTTGCACAAAGTAAATACTAAAGGATGCTAAAATACGGGTTTTTGATCTATTTTATATTAAATTAATTGCAGTAAAGGAGAGGCGGATTTGGAAATCGAATATATGACCAATCTACCTTATCAAAGTGTTTTACCAGTGGCTCGTGGTCTTGTAGCTCTTATTTTACATAATTCTTCTAATGTGGACATGTTCCTGTTAGCATGTAAGGTAAAGTGAAAGCTTTTTATTATTAAAATTTCTTGTTTCTATTTTTGACTTATAGTATTATAGTATGCAGCAATATAAATTATATACAATTTATATTTAATATATAAAACACACAATCGTAAAAAAATTAATAAGAAACTTCTTATATTAAATTTCAAATTAGTTTTTAAATAATCTTCGATTTTTGTATTACTGCTTAATATTGTACTGTCTCTGTCATTTGAGCATTAAAGCATTTAATTAGTATTTTCATCAAATACTAGAACAGCAGGTTAAGAATTTATTAGGATACAACATGATTAAGTTTATGTTTGTGTGTATAATCTCTCGGTTCATAATATTTTATTAAATCTTATTAAATTTTGACTTGCTTGTTCAATGTATTGCACATGTCAATTACACAATCATTAATGAGCTTTTCCGTTATATGCTTTATAATTAAATTTATGAATTGTCGCACCTAGGTAGTCGCTAGGCTAGTGGTATCCACACGTCCTGCAATTAGTTTGTGCGAACTTATGACCGAAGAACAGCTCTTAAAGTTAGTCAGATTGGCAACGGGTGCATCCGATGCTGCCTGGTCATCACATGCTGTTTCGTGTCTTCTACAGGATTTATTAGAAGGTATAAATATATCGCTTATTTCCATATTTTGGCTGCGTTAAATAATTATTAATATTTGTAATTTTTCTTGTTAATTTATTTCAAAATTTCTTTTTCATTTGTTATATTCATATTCGTATTTAAAATGTATTTTATAGGAGGACGATTATACCCAAGACCCTGCTCTACTCACGAGGGAAGTCCGGCTGAAGATAATTTTGAATCTGTAGATGAAACTCGAACAACAGAGGAAGATTCAGTAGGTCCACCTGGAACTAGTAACTCTACAGTTACTTTAGGTAACGATGAAGGATTTGCTGAAGGTGATGGAGATGAGGATGTTCAAGATAGTATTGTGGTAACAACAGCTTCAGCACCAAAATCTAATGGTTTTCTGCCTTCGCTTTTGGAATCGGATGATAGTGAACTTGAAGATTTCTTAGATGATATATTCGAACGTGGAAAAAATATGTTAAAAAAAGGCAGTACAGTTTCTAAAATATTAACTTCAGCCAGTTCAGGGTACTTTATAATATTCTATCTTTTCTTTTTTATTTTTATTCTCGTCATATATTTATGAGTTTTATTTTAATTTATATAATATATTAATATTGTATTTTTAGCAGTATTTCATTGGCTATGGATGAAAGATTGGAATATGGTGTTGAGATGGGAGTAGAAATTTCTTTAAGAATATTGTCTACTCTTGGCATGTACAATTTACCTCATAGCATAAATTCAACGATACATGTACGTTTATTAATTCTTTTATATATTAAGAAATATTTATTATATGTATATTTTAATGTAATATTTCCTCTGAGACAGGTTCCAACAGAAACAAATCGTTTCTGTCAACAAACTTCAACGCGTACAGATTCTTCTTGGACAGATAGAGGACAAGAAGTTTGGAATTTATCTGATTCTACTCCATCTAGTTTATCTATGCTAACTAGATGCTTTGATAGAATTTTCACAGATTTATACCTACAGGTTAGTTACGAGTATTATCGACAAATATACTCTTATCTTTTTTCTATATGATATTAATAATTAATTTTTTAAACAGAATTCAAGAACAAATTTGGAACTTGTACTTCAGTTATGGTTAACATTGAACTTAGATGCTGCTCCTGAACAATCCAATTCAACCACTCGATTTGATCCATTTTTAACACCTGTAATTCCATTAAGCTCTGCAGCTATTTCAAGTCTCGTATCGGCACTTTCTTGGTAAGTAATTATTTTCTAACTTCTAATAATAAAATACTATATACAAATTTATATACTTTACAGGCATCCAGATGTTTCTTTACGTGCATGGTGTCTTGCTTTACAATGTTTTACCTTAGCAAGTAATCAGCCATTACAAACGAATTGTTCAGAACATGCGAATAATAGACCACTGGCCGAGTTTTACGGTGGTATGGCTAGCTGTATCGTCAAAGAACGTAATATAGGACCTATGCTTCTTAGATTATTATCTGGTAGTGGATTAAATGTAAATACTATGGACAAACAATATATTATGGTAGGTTTTTAGTTGCGGCAAATGAATCATTTGTTACAATTATATAAGAATAAAAACGAAGAGAATTTATATATTAATATATATTTTTTTTCTACACGTTAATTTATGTAATTATTCTTTTTATTAATTTAATAGGCCGGTCCTACAGTATGCCAGGCTCTTCAAGATTTTCTTGTTAGATTAGAAATGAGATGTGATGTAATAACACCTGGCAGTACTTTGGGTAACGTCTTGAAAGACCTTCTGCTATGGATAGTTTATCAACTTGTACAACCGGGCGGTGCTCTTGTTTGCAGAAGAGGCCCTTTAGATGCCCAGTGCAAGCTTATAACCTCGCTTGTTAATCTTAACTTCGATAATACTGATTTAGGAACAGCAATGAGTATATCTGAGTGTGTTGGCATGTTGGTTTCAACATACGTTAGAAGTTCTGGAGGTATTATATTTTATATAATATAATATATATATTTAACATTATACATTATTAAATACTAATAATTATTTAATTTAATTTAGTTGGAGCTCAATGCGGTGGAGCTGTTGATTTGGCTAATCAATCAAGCGGGTTCGGAGGTCTATTTGCTTGTGTACTTGGTGGTGATGCTAAACAAGGTCGTCCAGCATCTTGGGATACTTTAGTCGTTGCACTCATTAAATTAGTGTGTCGATTCATTCAAACGCCACTTCCAAATGTATGTAATTTCTTTCAAATAAGTTAACTTCTTTAAGCATACTCGTACATGTGTGAATTTTTAATAAATTTAGGCTCGATCAGTTCGACCAGATGGTTCATCGGACATGGATTCTGAAATAACTACAAATCTACGGAATAATAGTAATGATCCACAGGTTGAAGTGAATATTTCGCAAACAGATGAAAGTAAAGCTGCTGAACAAACTTCAATTCGTCTTCAACAATCCACGAATAATAAACCTCGGGTACCTTGCGTCGCAGATACTGGTAATTATACATTTTTTTATTTGTATATTGACAAATGTTATTATATTAATGGATTTTATAGATTTATATTGATACAAATAATCTTTATTTTTTTTTTTGTAGTGTTGCAACACGAGCCTACCATGATGCGATTGTTGGGAGCTCTCGGTTATAGTAGTGGTTCTTCTCTAGTTATGCTTTTAGGAGAAAATGCTGGAACAGGAGCAGCTACAGAGCTTGGGGATCCGGCTTCGATATTAGATGCGACTTTTCAACTTTTGACTATTCTTATGAGAAAAGCTAGTAATCCATCTTTTGTCCTTGATCCTCTCTATAGATATTTATCATCATGTAAGTTTTTATATGATATATCTCATGTATGATTAATTTTAGAACAACGTGATCATTTTTTAATTTATTACAGCATGTCCACAAACCGAATTGGATCGTCAGTTTGGTGTTATGCAATTGTCAGAACCACTTTTTTGGTATATTATAAAAGTTTTAGATAATGAAACGTCACTATCGTTATTTACTAGGATGGGTGGTGTAAAAGTACTTTGTGAAAATCTAGTAAAATCGAGTATGAGTAATAATAACAGCTCATCGTCTCCTGGTGTAATTGCGCTAGTAATGGAGCATTTGTCAAATGCAGCAAATGTGACACCTGCGTCTTCTTCAAGTAGCAAGAAAGCTGTTAATACATTAGAATCTTATGAGGATGGTTTATTGAATTTTGCACCATTGGGAACAATACCTTGGCTGAATCCAACTGTACAACCAGCCGATGTTCTTATACAAAGTGTTGCACCTCATAGACGAGCAAGAACAGCCACCTGGTCATATCATTTCTATCCAGACGAAGCATGGCATGATCTTACTATTACTTTACCTTGTGCCATACTTCTAAGAAAAGTGGAACTTCAACCGCATCTTACATCATTAGCAAGTAAGTTGCCAATTAATAATATTAAGAGACACAAGGCTATATAGATTATTGTTATTTATATATATGATGATGATGATTATTATTAAATAATGTTATATTAAAATTTATTTTAAATAGCATGTCCGTCGGCCGTGGCTCTTGAAATTTCAAGAGAAAGCAACAGCCCTTTGATACCTGTTTGTCCTCCAATGCCTACAGCAGGCTTAACATTCATACGCCTGACTTTGTCACAACCAGAAGTAGCAACTGCTGTTCTTATAAGATTATACAAACCACGTGATTCTACTAATATTAATTTAAGTCAAATAAAGCTATTAGGCACAACAGCATTCGGTGAAATTAAAACGAATCATGATTCCGTGGATGAAGAACAACTTACAAAAACAAGGTAAATATTTTTAACCTTGCCACATAATAAAGCTTTTTTAACGTACGTTAATATTTGGATGCATTACGATCTATCATGACTATAAAAAAAAAAAGGAAAAATAAAACTAAATAAACATTTTGTAATACTCTCTAGCTTGGGATGGTTGCGATTGTTACATCAGTGTTTATCCGTAAGCACTCCAAACAGTGAACTGGTGGCTGAAGTACTTAATTCTGCAGCTTCGGTTCAAGGTCTTGTCGAGGCATGTTGCAATCTTCTATTACTCCCAGCACCATCTTTATTTACTCCCGACTTGGAAAGGGTTCTATTACAGCTAGGCTTACACTCTCGAGAGCTTGGACTTCGTCTTATTAATCTTTTACTCAACAACAGGTCTACTCCTTTCTATCAAGGTACTTTTTAATGGGTTGGATATATTCTTTAGTTTTCACGATCAAAATACTTGTGTATTTCAATATATAATTAAAATAATTACGCTATACTAAACGTTCACTCTAAAAATCTACAGGCACTGCAGCAACACAAGAAACATCAGCTATTCAGTTAGTCGTTGAATTACTTCAACAACTTTGTTCTATCCAAGATTCCAGTACTGAAGCTCGCATGTCAGCAGTCCTCTCTTGGCTTCAGACAACTGCTAGAGTATCTCATTCATATACTAGCTGTAATCCTAATCCTAGTACTTCACCAACAGTATACATCCATTGTGTATCATCAATAATTTGGAAGGCACATCAGCAACAAAATCTTAATTATGATTTGCAAGCTCTTTTAACTGATGATCTTTTTAAGTAAGTCAATATACTTATAAAATTTGTTTTATATTATTAAACTAAAATAATATTATAAAAGTATTAAATTATAACGTTACATATATTTTGTAGTGCTTTATATAAATGGACCTTAACACTTGGAACTAATTCAGCTTTGAAACAATCAATTGATTCTACTCTTTGCGCGTTCTGTTACGTGAGACCATCTTTATTTCCATTACTTTTACAAAGAGTACGAATACTGATTCCAAATTTGGCAACAGATCATTCTGCATCTATATCCGATGATCGTAAAGAAAGTAAGAGAAGAACGGATAGTAGAAACAGTGAAATTGATACTGAAGAATGGTATTGCCGATTCGTACTACCAGAATATAAACGCTTGGATTTAACAGAGGGACAATTATTGACTGTAGCTGCAACTGCACGATCACCACCTGGTATTCAACAATTAATCGATTCTGGATTACCTGCATTACTCACTACATCAATTATCGATTTCTGTAATTCGGAGAAATCAAAGCAATCCCAAAATAAGACATTAATGGAACAAAGTTATCAGAATAATTCTTCAGGAAATTCAAGCATAACGGATAATGATAAAACTACAGAAACTTCTTGTTCTTCGAATAATCATGCAGGTGGTGGTTTGAGCATGACGGATCCAGAAAGTATAGCGATGGTGTTAGAGTTCTTAACGCTCGTTTGTTCAGAAGGTAGAATGCGCGATTGGCTTGGAACGGAAGGTCGTGGATTTTGGTTGCCTTTATTATCTCTTCTCAGTAATCGTCCTATTGAAAATCCATCTGTGTCTTCTATGAGATGTTCCAAAACGAATGTTTCTTATGCATCTTTGGAAAGTGCTATGATCAAATTCCTTTCAAGATGTTGTTGGTGTCATCGTGCAAATCAAAAGTTACTTGCTGAACTTCTTATGGATGTTATCTCACAACAACGAACAACGTCCAATTTACGTTACCTACACGGTATTTCTGGCTTTACAAGAAGATTAATTTTGCAATTACTTTTGGAGGGTGAAAAAGTATTGGTATCTGTATCTTCTGAGGCGCCTATGAAAGCTTCCAATAATGCGGCAAATCAAAATACGCCATCGATGCCTCCACATCCAGCTTATCCTCTTGGACATTATCATCAATTGCTTTATATGTCTACGCAATCAACGGTAGCAGATATACTTCAACAAGTATCCGGCACTTGGCTTTTATTATTACTACCAAACACTTATAAAGGAAATGAAGCTAGCACAAGTGGAGCTAATCGTTTTCAAAAATTATGGGAATCAGGAATGGCATTAGTGGTTGATACTCTAAGCGTAGCTGCAGGAAATACAGCAAAAGATAAAAGAGCAAAAGAAGCATCCAACAGATCACAAGCTCGTGGACCTGTAATACGAAAGTCACGTTTAACTACTGACTCTGCAACAACTACAACAACTAAACCAACAAATAATACTGCTCAGACTAATTCGACGAATACCGCAAATCAACAGTATTTGATACATTCGTCACGTCCGAATACACCTCTTCCACCACAATTAACTATTGCTCAGCTTCTTGCAATCGCTGAAGATAGTGGAATATCCGAGCCTTGTTTACATCTAATATTAAAGCAACGTAACAAAGATTCAAAAGAAGATGTAACAAAACAAAGTGACAGCGAGTTATTAAATTATAGGAGTATAGAAAGTTCTTTGGATATATTTAGTACAGGTGGTGGTTTGGCAGTATTAGCTTGTCATCTTCCATTGGTCTATCCAGATCCTGGTAGGCCTTTACCATTTACAGAAAAATCACCATCTCCAGAAGAAACTGATGCAGATTGGGTTAAATTTCCACCTTCGGATGAGATTTATGCTGATTTGGAAGAAGATACAACTACATGTTCGCCAAGAACAGTATCTCCAGCTCCTTACGTACCACCACATTCTCTCGCTGCATTTGGTTTATTTTTAAGATTACCAGGATATGCAGAAGTATTGTTGAGAGATCGAAAAAGAGCGCAGTGTCTATTACGACTTGCTTTAGGTGTTTCGGACGACGGTGAAGGTGGTGATGTCTTAACGTCACCGCTAGCTGCTTCCTTACCCACTTTACCATTCCAAGTCTTAAAACAATTACTTGATGCTACGCCTCCGACCACGGATGATGGCTTACTTTTAAGAAGAACTACAATCGACGTAGGAGCTATGCTTCTTTTGTTAAATTGTTTGGCCATATTCACTCATCAAACTGGCCATAATGATGGTTTGGAACAAAAATTAGGCCAAACAGGAGGTCGTAGCGATGATAATTCGCATTTGTATTGGGCTAAGGGTACTGGATTTGGTACGGGTTCGACTCAACAGTCATGGAATGTGGAACAAGCTTTGTTAAGACAAAGATCTGAAGAAGAACACGTTACTGTTCTGGTTCAAGTTTTAGCAAGTTATATTGGTTCTGGAAGTCAACCTCAAAGAGAATTACCAGCAACATTCCCGGATCTATTGGCACGATCTTGTTTACTTCCAGCGTTGTCTTCGTATCTACGAAATGATTCCGTTTTAGATGTGGCAAGACACATTCCCCTATATCGTGCAGTTTTACAACTTTTAAGAGCTATGGCTTTATCCACTCAATTAGCTCCTCTTTTGTTACCAAGAGCTTCAAGATTGGGCGAACAATCTATCGTATCTTTATTATCTAATATGAGAGTTTGCGTAGATACCTATGTGCACAAAATTAATCGAACAAGAGGTAACAAATCCAAAGGCGTACCCAAATATCCCGATGATACGGAACAAGACGAGGGTTTGGCTACTTTAATTCCAGATATTCAGGAAAGTGCCATTATAGTGCAAAATGCTACAGCAAGATTAGCGAGTATCGGTGATGATTTACCTGGACCAAGTCCCACGGCTCCGGAATTACCATTGCGTTCAGTTGAACAACGTTATTTAGAAGTTATGAAAAACTTACGATTCGATACGTATGAAATGATAACAGAAAACACAGATGGGGGTGGATATAAATTTGCTGTATCTTATCATTTTGAATCTAATATGAGAGCGTCAGGCGAAAGAAGTCATCCAACAAGGATGAAGCGTTTAGCCCAAGAAGCTGTCACTTTATCTACTGCATTACCTCTTTCATATAGTAGCAGTGTTTTTGTTAGATGTGACGCCGATAGATTGGATGTTATGAAGGTGCTTATAACGGGACCGGCGGAGACACCCTATGCCAATGGATGTTTCGAATTTGATGTCTATTTTCCTCCCGATTATCCAAATAGTCCTATGCTAATAAATCTAGAAACAACTGGTCGCCATACTGTGCGCTTTAATCCTAATTTATATAACGATGGTAAAGTGTGCCTCAGTGTGCTTAATACATGGCATGGACGACCAGAAGAAAAATGGAATGCACACACAAGTAGCTTTCTTCAGGTAATTGTTTCTATCAATCGTAATTCTTAATGAAATCAATTGTAACGTTTGTTGCTTAAATTTAATTTTCTTATACTCAGGTTTTAGTATCTATACAGTCGCTTATTCTGGTATCCGAACCTTATTTTAACGAGCCTGGGTATGAAAGATCACGAGGTACATCGAATGGAGCCCAATCTAGTCAAGAGTATAATGCGAATATTTGCCAAGCTACAGCTAAGTGGGCAATGCTCGATCAAATTCGCAATCCATGCCCTTGCTTCAAAGAGGTACGAACTTATTACGTTATCTTATTTTTCGTATGTTTTTATTTAAATATAAATTATATTATATTGAAATAATTTTGAATCTAATATTTATTCCCCTATTAATATATCAAAGGTTATACACACTCATTTTTGGATAAAAAGACACGAAATCGTAGCGCAACTAGAAGGTTGGATAAGGGATATGGAATTACGTGGATCGGATCGTCGATTTGGTCCTGCTATTTCCTTAAATGCTTTGGCCTTAAGGGTAAGTTGTTCATATTATATTTTGTATATATTGATTCTCTGGAGTTCAAATATTTTCCATGACTATAACACAAATTAATGTAGAATGTAACAACAAACAAAATATCAACCTGTACATATATCTTTATATATATAAATCTCGTGTTACGTTGTTTGTCCGTGATGAACTCCTAAACTACCGAACCGATTTTAATCAAATTTTGCACACTGTGTGCAGTTTGATCTAACTTGATATATTGGATAGTTTTTATCTCAATTTAAAGTCGCAATATTTTTGTATTGCAAATTATTTGTTGATTATATGACAAAGAGTTATAATTATCTGTTAGTTCCATAAGATTCTAATAGATAGCGGTGTAAGGTAATTTATCGTCTGGATTGAGTAAGTATCCAATAGATGGCTGTAGCTAAGGTATAGGTTAAATTATGGGTGCGTTCCACTAAGCGCTCACAACGATCAAAATGCTCCTTTAGGGTGCGTTCCACTAAGCGCTCACAACGATCAAAATGCTCCTTTAGTCGTTCCACATAACGACCGCGGTCGTTGTGGTCGCGGCGAAAACGTCACTCATGACGTCATTACTAACGCTCACGCGAAGCCCACAACGACCCATCTGAAAACGTGGGTCGTAGTGAGCGTTGAGAAAATTAGCGGTTTTTTCGAAACTGACAACAATAAAAATGGCGACCGTGAAACTGACATGAAGGATTACAGATTAAATCTTAACCTCTTTAATCTTTTACTTTCTTTTCACTACCTCGCCATTTGTATTATTACCTCCACGCTCAAAACGCACCATAGTCCATTCCACTTGAATTTACGACAGTAACGCTCGTAGGTAAGTGGAACGGGAGAAACTGTGGTCGTGAGCGTGATCGTTGTGAGCGCTTAGTGGAACGCACCCTATATTGTAGTAAACTATTCAATACAATGAAATTATTATTGTTTTCTCAATTTTTGGTACTTTATTGTTTCATTTATAAAACCTTTTAATTAAATTAAATACGTGTAAATATTATTTGCTTGATTCTCATTTTATTAATTCAATTTTATTTTAAAATTTTAAATTTATTATTTTAAGTAAAATGCCACCAAAAAAATCTAATCTAAGAATCTAATAAAAGAAATCGCAATAAGAAGAAGAGGTCAAAGAATCAGGACAGCAAAGAGTCTTGCACAAGGATCTCAAGAACAGCGGGACGAACGTTTGCAACAGAATAATACGAGAATAAAAGCGTGGCGTAAACAACATATAGCTATAGCACGAAAACAAGAACGACAGAGACAGCGGATCAGGCGCTCATTAACACGTGCATGCATCATCTGTTCGTCTTGCGTTCTATCTAAAACTCTACATTTTATATTGATTTGTGCTTAATATTACCTTTACGAAAATTGTTATCAATCGTTTTCAAATTTTGATTTTAAGTTCAAATCTCAATCCCGTGGATTTTTATACCGGCTATAACGTTTTCGTCTTTATTCATAAATAATAATTTCACTGTATTGAATAGTTTACTATAATATGAATTAACGTATACTTTAGCCACAGCAACGCGTGGCCGGGTCTGCTAGTGTGTATATATATATATATATATATATATATATATATAAATAAAAATTAACAATGAATGAAAAATACATTATAGAATATTAAAGATATTTATTTATTTTTTTTACAGAGGCATTATAGATTATTAAGAGAAGAGTTGAACAAACTGCCAACACCGGAAGGTTTAGAAGATTTGATCGAACCGCTTCCTTCTCCGGGCTCACCTATTGAATTATCTGGGACTCCGGGTACACCCAGTACACCACCTTCGTCAGTAGGTCCTGCTACCACACTGACTACATCAATAAGTAATACTACTATCGTCCCCATTAGCAACACCAGTGCCAGCAACCATGTACATCATGATATCGATACGGATGTTGAAATGGAGAAGATGGTTTCAAAAGTGTGTGAATAGCTAAAGGATGTTAATAGACATTGTTGGACATTTTGAAAAGTCTATTGTTTGTGTTATGGTGAACAAATAACTTGACTGATCGAAATTGCGAAGATGTCTTGCTAAGTGAATTCGATTACTGGCAAATTCATTGACAGTCGACAGTGATTTTACTTTGAGAGGTAATAAATAAATATCTTTTTGCGATTGTGAACAGATGACGATGGCTAAAAAAAATGATGACGATGAAAGGAAATTAGTGTTTGAAATAGGATTAAAAAAGAAAAAAAAAATGATAAAAAAAAAAGATAAAAAAAAAGAAAAAACCGTAGAAAGATGGGATGGATACAGAACGAGGGAAAGAGAATATGGGAATGAACAAAATTGTATGAGAGAGCAACGGAGAGAAAGCGAGTGTGCGTGCGCGGGAGAGAAAGAGAGAGAGAGAGAGAGAGAGAGAAAAGAGAGAGAGAAAAGAGAGAGAGAAAAGAGAGAGAGAAAAGAGAGAGAGCATAAACGAGAGTATGTTTGTAGTTGCTTGCATACAAAAAAGCGTAAAGAGAAAATGTAATGATCGAAAATTGTGTGCGAGTGTAATACAAAAAAAAAACTCTTGTGTGTAGTAGATACTTTTTATGGCTGCTGCTATATTATATGTACTATGCATTCTACTACTTCATACTATTTGTAAGTACCAGCTCTTACTCAAATATTTATTATACATGTTCCTCGTTTATGTAGCCGATATCCCTGCGTGCAATGCGATCGAAATGATGAAATAATAACATTTAGTTAAAGCAAAAAAACAAGACGACTTAGATAAAACTGGTTTAAAGTATTGAAAGATAATCTTCGCGCTTCGAGGAACGATCTGTAATACAATGAGTCATACTACGGAGTAAAAAAAAATTTGACATCTTCTAAATAAAGACCACCATTTGTAACCGTATTAGCTACTTAAACACACAATAATTTCGTATGAAAATTGACACCATATAAAAGAATAAAAAAAAAAATTACTTTGTTTCGAGTTGGTCTCTAATTCGTCTCTACCTACAAGCTTTATTTTATTGTTGTTACTATTAAACACGAATATATATATTTATATATATATGCATACATATGTATATGCATATGTGTACAGATACAATTGCATCGCGAATTTAACGTTGAGAACGATTAATTACATTTGTATTGTGAGTAGAAACGATGTAAGAGACACGATATGAAATGTAGTTGGAATTTATGTGTGCCTGACAGAACATTCTCATATCGAGGTTATATAATTTTATTGTATTCGTTCTTTTTTTTTGCCCATTTTGTTTTATTTCTTGGTTTCTTTTTTATTTTTTTTTTTTTTATTATTTACTTTCTCTAAAATAGAAATTAGTTTGATGCGTGTTATTTGAGAGTTTTCGAAAATTTAACAAATATTTCCTTTATGAATTTAACAGTAACAATTATAACAGCATTTTATCACGCGTTCGCGTTTTTAAAAATAATTATAGCGTGTAAAAAGAAATGAATTTTTTTGAGAATGTACTTTTTTACATAATGTGTTTTTTTTTCCATTAAAATATATCTTCAATATTAATATGCAGTTAGGGAGACACTTCGGTCGTACTTATTTATTACGCCATTTTGTCTTCTATTAAAACAAATTACTTGGAATCCGACTTGTTTGTAATATATTGCATTTGATATACATACACACTCAACACATACAATACGTATATTATATA